ATTGAGTCTGGTAATAAAGCAAAATAATGGAAAACAAATAGAAATAGTCCGCAGATGACATTTCTGTAATCTATATAAAAAATCTAGCGTTAATTGGATCTCAAACAGTTTCATTACTCCACAACGTGTGAAACCAACGTGGTTGAACGATACTTTGCGACAATGGGTTTCGGGGAAACAGTCATGACCAGCTAGTTTATTTCTTCAACGATGCATCGTACAATCAAGGGGGCAATCCATCGACCAGAAGTTGAAGCCAGCTGGATGCCGCCATCTTGTAGTAGAACTTCACTTGAGTTAGCATTTCCATTGACTCCCATTCATTTTTGCATCACTTTGACAGCGAATAACTTTACATCTGAGGCGTTTGAAGACTCCATTTGTCCATTATTTATTTCTAAAGAAACACGACAATGTGTAAAAATGCTCCAATACCTTGTAGCTTATGTTTTGGCCCCGTAGAAGCAGTTTTTTTTGTAAAAGTAGGCTAACATTTGCGTCATAACCACGCGACTCTCTGTCGCACAGTAGAGAGATTACCGTATGGACAGGAGGAGAAGCTCCTGGGCAATCGGGGAAACGTGGAGGCAAAATGACAAATTATGCCACAGCCACTAGAAGACAGACAGGTTGCTCACGGCACATCTACGTCGTCAAGCTCTGTTTGAGTCGGTTTGAGTCTGCGTGTCAGGAACGGAAGTCCTAAAAAAAATCGCAAAAAATGGGCTTCACTTGTCTCAATTGAGGTCCAATGAGATGGCTCTCTGTCCAATTCTTATACCGTCTATGCGTACAATGGTAGTGAAGCAGCGAGCTACATCGTTGTACGGGAAATGCACCCCAGAACATTGTTTGACAAATTTTGGACCAATGACATTTTACAGTGGGTGAGGCATAATTAGAATCCAAAACATCTTTGCATTTTCAGCTAGTTTTGTTGCGTAACTCATTTAGAGTTAGTGTATCATTTATTCAGACCACAAGAATGCAGAGGAACTGTAAAAACACAACTTAAAACATTCTTAATTAGTTAACTAAAAATGAAAGTCAGATTATCAAACACAAATGTCCCCTGAGAGTGAAAATGAAAGTTTATTAACTGTGGGCCAAGCAGTCAATCCTGCTCTCTTTCTTTCTGACTCTTTTGTTATTCAGGGGGAATTCCACAAGTGCACTTGCTCATCGCCACCACAGAACGGATCCAGTAACAGGAGAGCGGTCACTGTTGCAGGTGTCTCTTCCACTCAGGGCATAGGAATCCGGTGGCAGACCTCACACAAGAGCAGACGAAGTCAACAGTGGCGCCGCACTGCGACGAGATCACAGGCTTGGTCGCTCGACTCATGCTACGGTCATTTCCCTCAACTCACAGGAATGCGAGTGATGTCCACTCCTCTACTCTTTCTTCGCTGACCCTTCACCCAGTTCAGCATCCTATCCTCCTCCACAAATGAGTGAGTCACTTAATCCTTCACTTTCACTCACCCTAATTTGTCAATCTCTACCCACTACCCTCTAGCAACTCTCTCTGTAGGAATCTGCTTAAATTGGCCACTTCCACCATGTCCTCCTGCTGCTTAGCGAACCCTCATCCTTTAACACTCTGTTATCCCAGACCCTCCAACATCACAACAAGACCTCCCACAGGAATACACCATCGGTCATCGGACATAAATGGACATTTCCTCCATATGCCCTGTTTACACTGAAAATATGATTACAAATTAGGTTATTTTGCATTTAAAAAATGTCATTTTATTTCGACAAGGAATTAGGTGCTGCTACAAAGTAATGTAATGCAAGGGAAAGAGTTAGTATTTAAATTGCATTGCCAAAATCTTATTGGAAACCAATTATTTCTGGTGTCTTTGTCGTGACAGATGGCTATCAGTGTGCTAACGCCTCATCAGAGTTCCGTTCCCCTGAAATCAATTGTGATTGGTGGAGGGGGTTATGTGTTATAGTTTGAATTCTTATCTTGGCATCAGCAACCACAAGCACACAAGAAGTTTTGAGATCAGTGCAGCTCTCCTTTTTACACACTTCAGCCATCAACTGCTGCTACTCGATAGTAAAGGTGTGGTATTGGATACGGCCAGAATGCCCGTGCTTCAAAACGTGTACCATCACGCACACACTCGCCTACACATCCACAAACACACACATTCCTGGCGTTCCCCAGGCCAGGTATACAAAGGAGCCATTACACACACACACATGTAATAGGTGGCATTTATCATCCCTGTTGGCAGAGGATCACCCATGCCGGCAAACTACATAGTGACGCCTAATTACCCATGACACATCGCTCAAGTTTACCAAGACTAGTAATCACTACAGTCAGTGCAATGTCCTTGAAACTGGCCAAACATGCTTTCCTTATCTAACTAACCTTGACCAGACATATACAATTTTGATGCACACACATGAATCTCCAAAAAAAAAAAAAATCCTTCTTCACAAGAACTCTCTCATTTGAAAAGTCAATAATTATATATTATCCTGTGTGAAAGATCAAGAACATCTTTTGTCTAGCACATTATGTAACTTTATCAGATAACAGACCTTCTAGTTCTTCATTTGTTGAATAATTGAGGCCACTAGATGTTTAATCATCTGTAACCATAGAGACTGAAGACATTCAATTATACATAATTTAAAATGACACAAGTATGAGATACATTTCTGATTCATAATTCCTAATATTTAGGCAACAATGGAGCAGTCAAACGCCTGTCCTTTTCGATATTCGCATTTTTAAATAGTAGTAGCCTTTGTCCTTATGGAAAACTTGGTGAAGGTGGTTTCTAGGGTGTTCTGAGTGGTTGATATGATTGATTACTTGCCCAAGTCTATAGTGTCCAATAATATTCTGGTCCATCCTTAAAGATAAATCTATGGTATTTTTTTCCGCTTGTTTTAATTGTATGTCATCCTGAAATTGTTAGGTACTGTAGCACACACAGATTAATACTTGGGGTTTTCAAACCTTTAAGCCTAAGTGAGAAAAATAGCAATAGCTATGCTTGTCTTAGCAAGCACCACTGCAATTACGTTTTGTGAAAGAGCATACAAACACATAAATATAACCCCCTATTTCAGGGTTACAAGAAAGCCGTCACTGTCTAAGGTGTGTAATTTTAACCCTCCACTGACGTTTATAAGCATCCATGCTGTATAATCAGAGAGGATATTAAAATGTCAGTCATACTTTCATTACAAACAGCTCACAGTTCCTCTAGGATCAATACAAGTGAAATGAAAAACAGAGATATTTGTGCACTTGACATAATCTGAAGTGCTGTCCTCCTATGAGATCAAGTCTTTCCATAACGAGCCCCTTAAAAGTGATGAGTCAGTCTCTCATCACCACGGTGATCTGTCACCATTTAAAAGCGTTCCCACAGCACACATCTTTCCCTCCACATCATCATCTTTCAGTACTACTTGCTCAAAGTCACCACTGGGGCTTTCAGATAAGACATTGATGACGCTCAGTACCAGACTAGAGGATATAACTAAATATGGATCGACTGAAGTGAACAGTATTCATTGGTGTAAATGTGAGATTCCAAGAGACTCATAAAAACAGCACAATATTGAGTTAAATGCATTAGGTGAAATTAAAGAGATTTAGACCGGATCGATCCATTTTCTAACATGGTAACACTTTAGCATAGGGTCTGTTGTGTAACATCCATAAGAATACAATTACCCTGTCTCATTGTTTGATGTATTTAACTAATATATCATAATGCCTTGTTTAGTTGTTTTTTTTCATAAAAGCCATATATGGGCAATTATGTAACTGCGTTAGTTCACAGCGCATTAATTAACATTCATTTTATTATTGTATGAATAAATGAATTATTGATGAAACTTAAACTAATAAATGATTAACTTTGTTCATGCTCAGGTTAACAAACCAAGCCTTATTGTAAAAGTTTACCTCAAACACTTTATATAAAATAGCACTAGCTTGAAAGCTGTTAATACGGCTGAAGCCTATGTTCCTACATGCCACCGTAGGCGGTAGATGACTTTCACGGAATGGTTGGTTTCTTGAAACCTATTCAGTGAGCTGAACACAGACGATTCTCTTGGACTGTGGGAGCTCTGAAAGCTCAGAGGAATTCAAGAGATGTACCATGCAACATGATTTCTGAAGAGCTAATATTCCTGATAAGCCATTAAAAGCCAGCAAGGCCAAACACACATTAAGAGACTAAAGACATGCACTTTGATTTTGCTGACGGACAGCCCAAGAGCAGTTAACTGAACGGTCCAGCCCGGGCCCAATGATGGCAAAACAAAATTTTTGCCGCACCGAGCAATTACCACACCAGCCACTGGAAAACGCCCATCCTGTTTCTGTGTGTGTGCATGTATGCTGACAAGATGCCAGTTAGCACCAAACCAACCTATTCTCACCAGCCTAGTGTGTCTGCCAAAAGTAGCCTCTCCCCAGGGTGTGCTGTGTCCGCTGTGCCACTAATGACGCCTGGTCTTTGCCTTTTCTTTGCTGTTCTCTTAATAGGCTCATTAAAAGGCCTGCACTGCTGAGCGGTCCCCCAGCTCTGGCTAATGACACTGCGGCAGTGGATCTCACACATGATGCACACCTTCATGTTTTCATCATAATAGAGTGTGTTCTCATTCTCTTTGCCTTTTAGGCTCAGAAAGTGTCTGAACTTTCAGTCCTGGACATTGCAAATGCTAACAGGATTAATATGTCGGGTTAGAGTGGCCCGTGGGTCCTGAATCAATGATAACCGCACAGGGTTAAGTGACTCTTTTTAGGAAACGAGGTTGACTTGAGTCTTGACACTACCATCTTGTGGTCATTACAAAAACTGCCTGACAGATAAAAAGAAATTGGGCTTGGTTTCACAGACGGTGCTTAGATTAAGCCCGGATAAGGCCTAAGTTAAATAAGGACATTTAATTAGCTTTCCTAGTGCCTTAGAAAAAAACAACAACATTACTGATGTGCACCTTGAGACAAAACAATGGCACTGACATATTTGAAGATATATCAATGCAAGTTGCTTTCAGTTACGAAAGCTTTTAGTCTGGGACAATACTATAGGTTTAACTGACTATGATGATTGACACTGTAGATTAAGGAAAAATTGTGCTGGTCAGCCTAGGAAACAGTCCACGTCCGGGTAATGGGTGTCATAAAGTAAAAACAGAATGAATCAGTCACAAAGTAATAGAGTGAAACAGGAAATTGATTCAGCTTTTGTTTAAACAGAGAAATAGTTTTGTCCACTTTTTTCAGGGGATCACAGTGACATTTTCTGGACACACGTGATTCTTGTTTATCATTGCGGTGCCTCTTGGCACACAGAGAGCTGAACATTGTGTTCTTGAGTGTCTTTTTACAACAACCATCGGCCGGCCAAAGAATGTTCTTTTTTGGCGTCACCTTCGCCGCTGCCTCAATAGGACTCCAGGTTTCTCTGCTGCTCCTCACTTTCTTGTCTTTTATCCTTGTTTTTCCCTATTTCTATTATTTTCTGCTTCGTTCTCTTATAAACACATCAAAACTAGCTTTTTACATGTTCTTGCAGGGACAGTTCCCTCAAAACGTTGAAAATGAAGTCATAAATGATGACAGAATTTACATTTTTTGGGTGAACCGTCCCTTTAAGAAGTGTTGTAGTTTGTCAAAGACTGTGTAAAGTTGTTTTAGGTGATTTCTGAAGTGTTGCTAAGGTGTTATGAGTGGTTGTTAGGGCAACTGCTAAGGCAAAAGGCATGTTTTAGTTCCTTTTCTATATACATAGACATATATTGTTGTGATACTTAGAAAAGTAACTGCACATAACAAACTCTGCGTACTGTATGATGTCTGACTTGTGGAATCACTCACGTCTGTAACACAACTGTGCGCAATCTTTATATCCATATTCACTCTCCACTTTTGTCTTCACCTTGTTTGCAGACATGTTTCTGAACTATTTCTGTACACCTCCTCTTTGCAACTGCTTTGCAGGAGTGTTCATTTAACTTTCAAAACTCAATTCAAAACCTTCAGTCGAGTGTTAAAAACATCACTCTCTGGCTAAATGTGTCACAAACTTTGATCTGGCTTTGTGCACGGGACTTTCAGATGTCAAAATGAAAAAAAGATTCAAAAGAGTTTCTTTCACACAACTGTAATGAGGCCTCGGTCCCCCGGAAACCCCAGACAGCACATTGCTTTCCTAAGAAAGCGGCAAAATCCCCGCAGGAGGTCTGGCATTCGGCCAGGGACGCACCATCCAACCAACACACAAAATATGTTTGATGGACACGTCATTCAGCCAATCACTTCGCTCAGTCATACTGGGGCCGACATAGATTTCAGTAGTGTTGTCACAGCCCTTCCTCTGCCGCTCTGCGTGTTATCCTAACCACACACACACACACACATGTTGTGGTGAACTTATTTACTCCACTACAAACTTTTTTAGTGCTCTTTCATAGTTTAAGAGACTATTCAATTATGCTAAAATAGGTTCTTTATGGTTTAAAAAAAGTTTTTCACACTAAGAAAAAAAAATTTATAAAAAATGTTCACTGAAAGTTCTTTAGGGAAACCAAAATGGTTCTTCTATGACACTGCTGCGAAAACCCCCTTTTAAAACCGTTATGTTTAAGATTGCAGGAGAAACTACTGAGATATTAAAGAGCTCTCATAAATATGAAATATTAAATCCAAGCTGTTGGAGTAGTCATTTTGTAGAAAAAGGTGAACATGACAAGTTTGACATGACATAACTAGGAATACAAAGGCCATGTTGTCTTTGGCAAAAAGTCCCTTGACTTCTGTGTTTGTGAGAGTACAGTTAAATCCCATTTTACATAATACGAAAATATTAGCAAGACTAAACATCTGTCTCAAGCCTCTTTTTATTTTTATTTTGTGCCAAAATCACTAGAATCAATCTATTTTAAGTCTAAGTACCACAATTCAGTTATGTCAAAGGATAAATTTCCTAAAAGAAGTCAGGAGGGTGAGCCCATGTGAGTGCAAATGTTCCAGAAAAATACCACCTACCTCACCTCTGGCTCTCTCTCTCCTCTATGTCTGCCACTCTCTTACTTTCTCCCTCTATGCATCCAGCCACATTGACGATCAGGTGCTAGAGAGAGAAAAAAAAAAGAACAGACAAGTGTTCACTGCCATTTCCCTTCTTCAAATGAGCCCTCACATCACTCTCTCTCTCTCTATTCCACCCAATAATGAAACTGACACACACACACACACACACACACACACATTGCCACAGGTACAGCAGCAACCTCTCATGTGGTCTCCAAAGTTCAGTGTCTTAGTGCTCCTTTGAATACCTATTTTTATGACCATGTTGCCCAATGATTCATGCTGGTTGCACAACCAGGCAAAGCGCACAGCAGTACACATCTGGACATATACACAAATACACAAACAATGATAGTGACTCCCACACAGAGAAAAGTAGAGATGGAGCCAGTAGTAAACAGCTCAGGCTGAAGTTTACCTGCCGAACTGAAAGCAGGAGCAATCGACTTGGTCTAGTCTGCATGTGTGCGTGCCCGTGAGAGAATCGTATGTGATGCATGAAAGTTTTAGGGAGTAATTTGATTCTCATTCATATTGGCCAATTTGAGTTGAGCTGATGCAATTCAATGTCATGTTTAAACACAACAACAACAACCACCACAACCGCAGAGAGAAAACAAGTTTTGAGAAGGGTAGGACACTAAATTGTGCTGTGAAAGGTTTTTGATGCCCAGATTCAGCATTATTAACTGTTTCCAGATAGAATAACAAGTATACTTTTCTCCAAAGTGTTAACCGGGTTTAATAAGCTCTATTGACAGCATCACACAGAAAATTAAAAAAAAAAAATAATAATAATTATTTGATATCTTTCAGATATTTGCATATTTGCCATCATTTTTGATCAATTTAATGGATACTAAATTTCTTTCTAAAAAAATCTTGCCATACAGTATATATATTATAATAAGATAAATATATGATGTTATTGATTTTTCTTTTTCTCATCTTTATCTCTTCATATCTCTCTCCCACTGTCTTTATATGCAACACTTCTCTAATGTTCAAAGAAACACATATTTTGTACATCCCACTGGGCATAAATAAACACACCATGTACAAAAACTACACTCACAGCTTTACCAGCAACACACTTCTAAACATGAGCGACCACTTGTCACATTACAGTACATTTGACTGAGATATGACTGGCTTTGTAAAAAATTAAACCCTGAACACTCATCTCTCACAGCTTACAAAGTTCACACACATTAATTAACCATAAACAAGCTAAACTGGGTTCTATATGAATAAGGGGGACATATTCACAGTCATAATCTGTTAGGTCTGTTTTTGTCTATGTGTGTCAATTTATTCAGTCTTCCTAACTTTAATGAAAATATGTGAGCCTATAAAACCCCCACCTAGGGTTAGTGTGCCCGGGGTGGTTTCTAGGGTGTTGCTATGTGGTATTGCTAATGTGTTTTTGTGGCATTGCTTTGCGGTTACTAGGACATAGCAAGGTGGTTCTTGGTTGCGTATGTCCTTGAACAAAAAAAATCCCACCTAAAAGATATGTTATTGTGGTCTCAAGATATGACTTGTGTCCCTCTTTCAAATTAAGTCTATGGGTTTTTTTTATGTTTTGCATATTTTTTCAGTTTTTATATTTATATTTCGGAATTAAACACAGATCTGATTGCTTGATCTGATGTAATCGCAAACATTCCTCAAACCACATGATTTGAGGCAACATTCATGTAGGATTTATCGTAAACTTTAAATATGAACCTTAGTAAGCGTTAATACATCTTGTTAAACTCTTTCAAATGGCAAAAACTGGTCAGCAGTCACATACCGCGAAGTAAAGGACAATTTTTTTTTTTTTATGTAACCAGAAAAACGTCACCTAAAGCCACATTGTTGTGACAGTTGATGTCTTGGTTTGAATCTGATGACTGGACCAGTTTCTGATTGAGTCTCTCCACAAAGTGCAGTTAACGGCAGAATGGATTTTGAAATGAGAGCAGGGTTTGTCTCTAAAAATCATCCGCACTTGACCTTTTATGGTGCATTATTTCTGACTTTGGCAACACACACACACACACACACACACATATATATATATACAGACAGACAGATAGAGAGAAATATATATATATATATAGAGAGAGAGATAGATCTTTATTTGTTCACTTCATCTCCATGATGACCCATTCCCTCAGTGTTTATCTTTATGGAGAGAAAAAAACAGAAAAATTGAGGAAGATTGAAAAGCGGTGAATATTTAGATCATGCAAACAAGAGCACAGACCTCCTCAAACTCCGGAAACAGTTACGGTTTCTAAAATAGAATGGTTATGGCTTCTAAAATAAAAAAGGCCCCTAAACTGAAAACTGTAGCATGGTCCAGAAGTGTGTCTGCTATCATCCATGAAAAAATAATAATAATAATAATAATAATAATGTGCTCTGCTGTACAGTGTTTAGCGGCTGGGTTAATGATTTATAATCGAATCTAGCTTTGGGAAATCCCCCAGCCATTTAATTAAACCATCAAGCCATTTTTATTCCAAGAAAGGACAGTGACTCTTAGTTCAATAATAACATAAAGATAAAGAGAGAATGAGAGAAAGCAGAAGGTTAGATACTCTATATAGAAAATGAGCGTTGACCGGCTGTGAGTCACATTACACGGTCACGTCCCTCATCCGCTGTCACGACTCATTTTCATACGCAGCTAATGTACAGCAGCGTATGGAGGATTCTGGAGAAACAGAGACGCATCGCTGCATTTTCAGAAGCCAGAGGCCATTGTAATGAAAAACAGCTGAGCAAATTATGTGATCCATTGCAAAACCAGCTAACGGATGTGCCAATGGTGATTTTTTTGCATTATACGTGAAACGAGACACGTTTGATCTCTGTGGGAAAGTCAGAAGTGCTCATCTGTGGTCTAGCATAGCATTACTAAAAGAAGCCATGTTTCATTATTGTGTTAGTTTTTAGATCGCATTATAATCAGATACATATTGTACACATTCTTGCAAGCAGAGCAAGTGATCAAACACTCTTCTGAAATGTTCCTGGCTCTCTCTCTAGAAGTGTCGAGAAGCCATTTCGGTGGTTCGATTAGTTTTGTTTTAGCAAATAAATTTGTTTTGACAGTACATTTCAAAAAGTAGATTCACTGATTCATATGAATCAAGTTGTGTTCACAAAATCCCCATGCGTATCATTTGTAGCAAAATAAATATTTGGATTAGATTAGGTTTTTATAAAGGTATTGTGCTATTTAGTAAGAATCATTAACATACTATTACAGTTTTATCAGTATTTCAATTTTTATTTTCGTTTCTGTAAATTTGTTACTTACATGTCATTCAACTGAGATCCTCAAAAAAGTGCCTCCTTAGTTTCAATGTCTTAAGCTACTTTTTGTTAGTAACTAGCTCCACTATAGTTTAAATACTTTATATATTGATTAGTCTATCACAAAGAAATCAGAAAATTCAATGGAGTTCTATATAGAAGGGTTCTTGACTCAATTTTAGTTCTACAAATGGAGAAATGTCCTAAATCATCACATACTACCTTTATGGGTTATTTAAAGTATTATTAGTTATTAAGATATTTAAACAGATTTTAAAAAAAGAAATTTTAGGGATAAAGTATGTTTACAAGCTGCTCAATTCATAACCTTTCAATAAAATTAAAAGTTAAAGCAAAATTAGTTAAAACTAAATTTCATGATCCCATGAAAGAACCCCTAAAAGTTTAAATGAAGCCCCTGACTGAACCTTTTTTTTTGTTGTTTTTTTTTGAGTGACTCACAGCTGGTCAGGTTCTTGGATTCAGAAATTAATTTGTTCCTAACACATAACTACAATACATTATGGCATACTGCACCAAAAGTTTCAAAGTAGCTTATCTAACACAGTACATTAGTCGGTAACACTTTAGAATACGGTTCCTTCGTTAATGAATAACTACACAAGAACTAATGAGTAACACAATATTAACAATCTAGTAACTATTATTAACTAACAAGAAACTCTGATTAACAAACTAGTAAGTAATAGCGCACAGACGAAAGTGGTAGTTCCCTATTAAGTAATCAATAACTACTATTTTTTTAATTCTTCCCAGAGAACTACTGAAAAAGTTTATTAACAATCTAGTAACTACTATTAACTAAAATAAACTCTTATTAACGAATTAGTAAGTAATAGTTCACAGATGAAAGTGTTACTAGATACTTCTGTGGGAATTACTAATTATTTGGATTCGTATTATAAAGTGAAGATCATTGGAACTAACTAGTAATTACTCAAGTGTTACTACATGACAGCCCATTCTCACTCCCAAGGCGTCACCTAACTGACGCCTTGGGAAGCATTTGGACATGCTTCAATATCTGACGCTTTAGGCGCCCTTTAGCGTCAGTTAGATGACGCCCTAGGATCGCGTGTACCCTACCCCCACCCCACACCTAAACCTAACCGCGTCCTCTAACTGACGCTTTCCTTTAGCGTCAGTTAGATGACGCCGTAGGATCGCGTCATGTAAGTGACGCTAAAGGGCGCCTAAAACGTCAAATATTGAAGCATGGTCAAAAGTGACGCCTTGGGGTGAGAATGCGTTGTACATGATCTAGTCATGATTTGTGCAAATGTTTGAGATTTTTGGTGAACTTTAGTATACTTTTAGAAAATGTCTTTAGTAACACTTGAGTAATTACTAGTTAGTTCCCATGATCTTCACTTTATAATACGGATCCAAATAATTAGTAATTAATAGCTCATAGATGAAAGTGTTACTAGATACTTCTGTGGGAATTACTAATTATTTGGATTCGTATTATAAAGTGAAGATCATTGGAACTAACTAGTAATTACTCAAGTGTTACTACATGATCTAGTCATGATTTGTGCAAACGTTTGAGATTTTTTGGTGAACTTTAGTAACTTTTAGAAAATGTCTTTAGTAATACTTTAGTAATTACTAGTTAGTTCCAATGATCTTCACTTTATAATACGAATCCAAATAATTAGTAATTCCCACAGAAGTATCTAGTAACACTTTCATCTGTGAGCTATT